AATGTAAAAAAATAAATATTTAAAATTTTCGAATTAGTGTAGTAAAATACTATAGAGCTTCTAGCATTTATGCCTTATCCCAGAAAATTTTTAATACATACATTTTGCTTAAAAATTAATTTTATGTTTTTTATTCGCCGAAAATAGTGTGTTATGTTTACTTGTGTTGTAGGTAAAATGTTTATTAGTCAACATGTAGTATTTGGGAACTCAGTAGCAGAGAGAAAGGGAGGAATAGTAGGCACAGCAGATAGTTTAAAAATATAAAAGGCTCTTTGCTTTATGCAGAGGGGTTTTATGCGTTTTTTGTCGCAACAAATAGAAGGTACGAGTACATAAGTAGAAAGTAAATATGTGTAACGAAGGTTTTGAGCATGGCAACACTTGCTGTGGCGGCTGTGGCGGCAGCAACAAAAGTCGCAAATGCACTTACTTGTATCTTCAGTGATTTTCTGTTCTTTTGGCTTATGTTTTATTGTTTTTGGTTTTGTATCAGTGGTATCCGATGTTGTGGTTGCTGTTGTTGGTTCTGTGTCCTCTAACTGTGTTTCTTGTGGCTGTTCTTGTTGTTGTTTGGGCTGTTTACGTGTTTTGGGTTTAGTAATTTCTTCGACTACGGTAACTACCTCGTCTGTTTTGTCTGTAAGTGGTGTTTCTTCGACATGTGTGGTCTCAGTGGTTGAGGGTTTCTCAATAAGTTTCTTTGATTTTTTAGGTTTTTCTGGTTTTTCGATGTCTTGGAGAGTTTCTGGTTGTTCTACTTCTTCAGTGTCTTGTGGTTTAGTGATTTCTTTCTTTTCTGTTGGTTTCTTTACTATTGGCAGATCTGGTTTTTCGAATTGCTCAAGTTCTACTTTCGGTATTTCTTCTTCAATCAATTTCTGCACATATTCATCTAGTTCATCCTTTTTAATTTTTTTGATTGTCTTTTTAGGTTTCTTTGGTTTTTGTTCTGTGGTTTGTACAGTTTGTTCTGGTTGTTCTTCTTCGAGGATTATGGCCGCTGTTTCTGGTTCTTCACTTATAATGACAATAGCTTCGGGACTACTATCATCTTGTACAGTTATTATATTTATTGTGGCATCCTTTTTGCCTTTTTCTTTCTTTTTGAGTACACGTTTGGTGGTGACTTGTTGAATTGGTTCTCCTTTCTGATCTGTTATCTCTTTGACTTTAATTTCAGCTGGTATTTCCTCTGTAACAAGAATTGGTTCTTCTGTTTCTATAACCTTAATTTGTGTTGTTGCTTCGTCGATATCGTCCGTTGGCTGGTCTACAATACGTACTTCGGCTAGTGGTTGTTCTTCAACACCTTGTTTTGGTTTCTTATGTTTAGGCTTTTTCTTCACCTCTGGTTTCGTAGTTGGTTGTGGTGTTTCTTCTTCCACAGTGACATCGGCGGTTTCTTCGCTTTCCTTTTTAATCTTTGGTGTAGTTTCAAATTCGATTTTTTCATACTTTTCCAATTCTGTTTTGGGTATTTCTTCCTCGATCAATTTTTGTATGTAATCATGCAAATCATCCTTTTTGACCTTCTTCACTTTTTTTTTCTGTGCTTTAGGTTTAGTGGTTTCTTCTTCCTTATCTGGTTGTGTTTCAATGATGGTTACCTCTGCCTCGGGTTGGTCAGCGGTTTGTACTTCTATTATTTCAATTACATCTTCTCTGGGTCCCTGTTGACGCTTTAATTTTCGTTTGGTTACTACTTGTTTTTGCACGTCACCTTTGTCATCGACAATTTCTTTAACTTCAGTTTTAGTTTCGATTTCTTCTACATGTACTGGTTCTTGAGGAATATCTTCAGGTTTAACCTCTTCTTCACCTTGTACCTTCTGCTTGGTGGGTTTCTTTTTCTTTGATTTTGTTTGTTCTTCTGTTACTGTCACTTCGAAATCTTCTACCTCTGTAATTGGTAGGTCATTAACTTCTTTCACAGTGCCTGCAACATCGACACTGTCTACATTAGTTTCTTCAGGTTTGTCCTCTTCAATGACTTTAACCTTATGTTTGACAGTTTTCTTTTTCTTTGGTGTTTCTTGTTTTTCAGTTGGTGATATTTCAAAGTCTTCAGTTTCGGACGTTGGTTGTTCTTCCACAATGTTTACTTCCTC